GTTATATTTAGAAATATATTGTTTTTGTTCTTCATTAGCTTAATTATTTTTATTTTCAAGTTGTTTGTTATGCTTCTTCCAGCTACGACACAAACAAATAAAATTCTGGTACTGGTATTATATTTTCTTTCCAACGGAGGAGGTGTTGATGGTGTTGGGGTTATGAAATGTTCGATATTGATATGGAGAATGCAATGGACTACAGCCAAAAGAAAAAAACTTTGAAGAAGTGTTTACAATTTTTATTTTGCAAAGTGAGGTCAAGTAAGGTCTTCTTTTAAAGAATAAATTTATTTTTTAAATTTGTAAAATTGAATATGAATTTTGAATAGCAATCACAACTATTATGAAAATGTTGGGAAAGTTTAATTCTGACTCGAACCTAAGTCTATGCTTTGCATACTAAAATACCCACCTTTTCACCTTTATAATGTTTTTTGAACGTCCGTTTTTCCCAAATACGCAAGGACCTTATTTACACGTATTTCAATTGATACCAGAGAAAATGGATGAACAAACTTTTTTAATTGATCGAAATATGTTTACATTTATATAAACACAAATTTGCCAATATCTGGAATACTGTTTTCAAAAAATAAAATATCCAAAATGTGCATTGTCAATTTTGAACATTTTCAACTTTATATTTTTAAACGCAATGCGTATTTGGGTAACATCCATTGAAATACATGTATATAACTTTTGAGGTGAATAAAATCGTATGCATGAATTTTGGTACGACTATTTCACTTCACAATAAATTTTAAATTTCCCTATTAATTTGGAAAAGAAAACAGAAACTTATATTGAAAATTTCCTGCAGACTCAAAACATGTACCTTCATTATGGGCGGATGGTTTTTCTTTCCAAAAATGAAAATGCCCTAATATGGGCAGGGCTATATCAAAAGATGGACCTGTATAGAACATTTTCGGTGGATATGTTTTTCTCCAATTATTGGGAATGGCTAATTACATCCACATAGGTTGATAAATGAGACTAGGACCTTGAAAACTCCTAAAAAACATGGACCTTAATTGAAATAAAAAATACGATATTACGAATTATAGGGTCTTCCGGTTGAAACTGCCGCTAAACCTTTTAAAACTTCAAAGCTATGGCGGGAACCTATATGTTTGAGCTATGCCAAAACATGGAAAATATTACGTGATTTATCGTATGTATCAGTACCTCATCGGTCCACTCCATCTAGTACTTCCTACACAATGTAATATTCAATACTTTATAAACCAATTTCATATAAATATTCAACAAATGTTATTTATTTCACAAGAAAGTGCACGTGTATACCTTTTAGATGACACCACTTTAACTTGAATACCAGCAATACGAAAAATGTTATGGCACAAATAAATAGAGTACACAGTTTTTATAAACCTGTTGTCAGCGCCATCTATTGATGGGCTTGATTCAAACCGTAGTCTTGCAAGCCCAACTTTCCAAGCGTATAACCTTGCACATGTAATTACATTTCAACAAAAATTATGTCATATGAAAGAACAAACCTATTTTGCTATAACCAGCAAACTATTCGTATAACACAAATTTTACCGGAGGAAATAATAGAAAACTTAAATACCACATTTCATATTCCAAAATAAAAAATATTTATTGTTATTTTATTTGAAGGTATGAAATTGTAGCTTTCATATGACACCACTTCCATTTGAATAGCAGCGATAAATGTTATGGCAAAAGGAAATAAGGTATTCAGCGCCATCTATTCGTGGGCATAATTCAAATTATGAACATTAGTTTTTGACGCCCAACTTTTGTCATATGAAAGCGTAAATAGTTTAATTCACCATGACTAGCAAATAATTTGTATACCGAAATTATTACCATGGGAGATTGTTGAATATTTCAATACTACATTTCATATTAAAAAATGTAAAAGGTTGAAGTTTTTGTTCTTTCACAAGAAAGTATAAAATTGTACCTTATTTAAATATTATTTATATATCAACGTTAGGTCAAAAGTTATAGGAAAAACAAATGAGGTCTGAATTTTGCTTTATCGATTTGTGGATCTACTCATTCAATAGATGGCACCGGCGACAGCTTTTTGCCAGAGTTGCCAAATTTACAGAAAATCACCGATAATTTTGATTCTTTATCAATTTTGTATGGGTAAGTTTACAGAAATAATTCAAATTGATATTAATAGCTTAGAACAACCACTAGCCAACAATATTCAAGATTGTTTGACAGAGTTGCCATGTTTCCGGAATATTACAGTTTTCTGGGATGCTTCATAACTTTTGGGCGCATAACGACAATTCAAATGGATATTTTTAGCCCATAATATATTCTTTGTAAACAGGTTAAATGAGGTTTTACCGGAGTTGCCATTGTAGCAGAAAATTGAAAACAAAACCTAATTTCATATTTAATAACTTGGAATTCTTTAAATTTATTTACTTCACAAGAAATTATACAATTGTACCTTTCATATGACACCACTTTCATTTAAGATCTGCAATACGAAAAAAGTTATAACAACAATAAATCAGGAATGGAATTTCTTTAAAGACGATGTCAGCGCCATCTATTGATGGGTCCAACTTACAAAGCCTATAACTTTTGAACGGATAATTACATATAAAAATTTTACCTTTCATAAAAAAAAATTTACCTTTCATATCTTACAAATTTCATTGCAAGATCTGCCATAGGTCAGAAGTTATGGCGAACATTAATCAGGTTTAAATTTTGCATGCTTGGTTTTTGAATCTATCCATTCAATAGATGGCGCTGACGGCAATTTTTTGTCATCTTAATTGAAAATCATAGGTATCACAACTTCATAACTTCTGAATGCGTAACGATACAGAAATAATTCAAAGGGGTGTGTATAGCTTAAAAGATCCCCTTTTCTACAATATCTCAGACTATTTGACAGAGTTGCCATGTTACCGGAAAATTACAGTTTTCTGGGAATATTCATAAATTTTGAATGGGAAACGATAGACGTATAAGTTAAACGCATATTTGTAGCTTGGAATATATTCTATCCGACAGTACCAAAGAGTTGCCACGTTAATAGAAAATTACAATTTTCTGGGATTCTTTATTACTTTTGAACGTCTAACGATACAGATATACAAATAAAACGAATATTTGTAGCTCAGGATAACTTCTTTGTAATAACTTTCAAGAGCGTTTGATTAATTGTGTTTAATTAAAATTACTAAAAAAGTCATGAAATATATTCGACCATAACCTCATATGTTATCTGAATGGCCTGTCTAAATTGTGGACCATTTTTTTATTTTATTTATTTTTTTGTATATGGCTGTAGTCCAATGCTCTATTTTTAGTTTATCAGTTTATCTCTCCGCATTTGCCTATCTAATATCTGCTGTTTTTTGTTGCTATTGTAATAGTTTAGTTGTTGTTCTCTTGTTTGTTGGTTAGGTATTCGAATAATTTTCTATAGCCATAAAGAGCTTGCTTTTGTTTTTATTAAATTGGGGGGCGATGTTTATTTGATTTTTTGTTTTGTTTTGTTTTATTTTTGTTTATTTGTAATAAATTGTTTGTTTTTGTTTGTTTTATTATTTTTTATTTGTTTTTTTATTATTATTCATATCCTAAACTTAAGTTCACATCCAGTAAATTGAATTATAATATGTTGATTTTGTTTTATTTGTTTTTTAAAAAAATAATGATATTTAATAAAAATAAAAAAGAGTAAAACGAGAATTACAAATTAATAATAATAAAAAATAATTTCACATTGTTGTTGTTGTGTTTGTTTTCATTAAAAAAATTATTATTATATATAAAATATGATAGGCTTGGTTGTTTTGTTTTTTTTTTTTCTTTTTATATATATCATATCTATATGTAAATATATAAAAAATATGTAAGTAGGTAGGTGGTAGGGTAGTAGTATGAGAATTAGAATTTAAAAAAAAAGAGAGAGGAAACAATTGTTTTTTATATTTATGTAGTAGATATTTTAACTTCTTCCAACGACAACTTTTACTTAATACTTTTACACAATTTAATAATTATAATTAATAATAATAATGATAATAATTGAAAAAAATATACAGTAGAATTTGTTTATAACTAATTTGTTATACAAATAACTATTGTTGTTGGGAGGTTTTATTTTTTTATTTTTTGAGAAACAAAAAAAAATTACTTATAAACAAATTATACTGTGCTACAGTTAAATTTGATTTGATTGTTGGATTTCACAATATTGTTGTTGGTGGCTGATGGGTGGGTGGTGGTTCGGATGGTGGGGGTTTGGGTGGTGATGATGTTGTTTGCTTATTTAGTTGCTTGGCTTCTTTCTTGTATTTTGCGAGGAGTTGTAAGCCGCTGTTTTTATTGAAGAGACTGAGATGAGGAGGAGCACAAAAAATATGAAATTCTGCTTTGCATTTTCAAATGGATTTGGAGAGGGTTTGGCTGGGATCCTTTTCTTAATCTGTGTGGATGATGTGGTGGCCTTTTGTTCGCATTATGTCCAACTTGGTTATTTGATTGTAATCTCCTTAACATTTGTGTTGTTTACTCCTAGTTCTTTCTTTTTTTTTCTTTCTTTCAGCTGCTCCTTTAGCTTAGCTTTTTGTTGTTTCTTCAATTTTGTTCTTTCTTGGTTTCTTCTCTATACTAATCAGTTAGTTTTTTGTTTCTTGTTCTTTTTTAAAATGTAAATGATTTATTTTATTAATTTGTTTCCAGTTTAATTAATGTTTATATTGATTGAGTTTCTGTTTTAATTTTATTTGTATTTGTTTGTAGCAGTATTAGATACTATGCTTTGCTTGCTGCCTATGTTCTTGTTCTCATTTATCATTATAGTTTAATTTCTTTTTTTAATATATTATGTAGTTTGTTTAAATGTTATGATTTCCTTTCTTTTTTTGTTAATAATAAATCTCTCAGATTCATGCAGGTTTATTGAACAGGTTGTTGTTGCTGTTTTTATGTTTTGCTGTTTGTATTATAGTTGTTGCTGCTTCAGATATTTGATTTAGAGAAACTGACACGTAAATGATTCGATTCAGATAACTGATGATTGTGCATTTTGATTAAAGCCAAGACGGCTTCTTCGACAGTGGAGAGCTGTAACAAGGCCATTTTGCGATCCTTACTGTAAAGAGAGAAGGGGAAAATTAATAAAAATGTATTAGGAGTTATTTTTCATTGACTACTTACGGGAAAAATTTAAATGCCTTAACTTCAAATTTGTTGGAGGTGAAGGCTTCTTTTATATCTTCCTCAGTGCAGGATGATCTAGAAAAGAGAAAAATCAAATACAAATAATAATCTTTTATTCACAATCAAAAGGATATAAATTTAAATCATTATACAACACAAAATTGATTGAAAATCTATATAATCTACGCCTTTTAAGAAATGCTTAAAATAATTTTTAAAATGTCTACAAGCCTTCTTTAGGAGTCTTAAAATATTATAAACCTAATATTCAATTCCATATTAATATTTGTTTTTCTTCACAATAAAGTATACGATTATATCTCTCATATGACACCATTTTCTTTTGAATACCTTTATTTCACAAGAAAGTATACGATTATACCTTTTATATGACACCACTTTCATTTGAATATCAGCAATATGAAGGAAGTTATGGCGAAAACAAATGAGGTATGCAATCATCAGCGCCATCTATTAATGAACATCAAGCAAATCGGCTTTGAAGCCCAATTTTCAAAGCGCATAACGTTTGAAGAGATAATTACATTTCAAATCAAAAGTTATAAAAACAACAAACTGGGATTCAGCCTGACTATTTTGCAAAAGCAAAAGTTATAGGAAAAACAAATATTGTTTGCATAATCGATTTTTTTATCTACCTATTCTATAGATGTCGCTGACGACAAGTGTTTGCCAGTACTGACCAACCAGAAAAAATATTGATTTTTGTTATGCCATCAGAAATTATAAAATGTTACCTTTCATATGACACCAATATCATTGCAATATCTGCAGTAGGTCAAAAGTTATGACTTAAATAAATCGAGTATTGAATCTACCCATTCAGTAGATGGCGCTGGCGACAAGTGTTGGCCAGTGCTGCCAAGTTTACAGAAAATCACTGGATTCTTCGATTCGATATAACTTTGGAATGCCTAATGATACAAAAATAATTCAAATGAATATTGATAGCTTAGAACATACACTATCCTACAGTATTTATGAGTGTTTGCCAGGGTTGCCATGTTTCCGGAAAATTACAGTTTTCTGTGATTCTTCATAACTTTTGAACGAGTAAGGATACAGGGACAAATCAAACGGATATTTTTAGCTCATATCTTCTTTGACCGATTTAATAAAGTTTTTCATATCTACAATAGGTCAAAAGTTATACGAACAACAAATGAGGTTTACATTTTGCCTATTCAATAGATGGGCTAATGACAAATGTTTGTCAGTGCTGCCAAATTTGGAGAAAATTAAAAGTATTTTAGATTCGTCATAACTTTTGAATGCGTAATGAAATAGAAAAAATTTAAATGGTTACTAATAGCTTACAACATACGCTATCCTACAGTAGTTATTAATGTTTGCCATGTTTCCGGAAAATTACAGTTTTGTGCGTAACGATACAGAGACATATCAAACCGATTTAATAAAGTTTTACAATAGGTCAAAAGTTATACGAAAAACAAATTTACATTTTGCATATTTAATAGATGGCGCTAATGACAAGTGTTTGTCAGTGCTGCCAAATTTGGAGAAAATCATCGGTATTTTAGATTCAATTAATGTTTGCCATGCTTAACAGTTTTCTGGGACAATTCATAACTTTTGAACGCGTTACGACACAGATGAAGCGGATATTTTTGGCTCAGAATATCTTCTTTGTAACCGCGTTCAAAAGTGCTTGCCGACGTTGTTACGGTAACAAAAAAACAACAAACATCTGTTTGTCTACAAAGACCTCTATCAGTAAGCTTATAAAGACTCTATTGAACTCACTTATAGAAACTCCCTTCTTCCCCTGTTTTAGGGGTACCTTCTGACCCTTAATAGGACCTATTACCAGTTCTCCCCCCTCTTTTTCTTTTCTCTCATTATTTTTGTTTTCTTTTGGTTTTCCGTTAATTTTAATTTTCTGTTTTTGTTGGTTTCTTTTTTTTTTGGATTTTTTGTTGGTACTTACGGAATGTTACTTAAATGCAATGTTGCCGATGGCGGATAGATGTTTTGATAATTTTTGCTGCCTGGTTTCTTGAATCGATGCAATGGATTCTGAGAATAGTCACGTGTTAGGCCAGCATCGGGTTGTCCCTCCTTCGGCAGTTGTACGGCTTGATGTTTGCTGGCCATAACACGTATTGCCTTACCCCACAAGCGTAATTTGTCAAGGTGATTCATAGCTGGAAAAAATAGAACAAGAAACATTAATAAATTTAAATTAATAAATATTACAATAAAATTTCAAAATTAATTAGAAAAAATGAGAGAATTTTGGAAATATGTTTTTAAAATAAAAAAAAAAATCAAAAAGAATTAATTTTACAACAAAATTTTGAGAATTGATGAGAAAAAGGGTGGATATTTGGAAATGTTTTTTTTAATAGTGAAGTTATGAGAGCCTAAAGGAAGTGCAAGAGGGGTTTCATATTTTTAGAAGGTAAGGCCGTTGGGCAAATGTCATTTTAAATATATTATGTATGTCAATGTTTGAAATTTTCTAAATTATCACTGGTTGCCTAACAATTTATTTAATCTAAATCATAAATATTTTATTTTTTCTTTAAATACCCTATCCTGCTTATTTTTTTATTTATTTTTCCTAAATTTCCTATTTATTTATTCTATAAATATTCAATATTCAATTTGTCTAACTCAATTCCATTTTCAATTGTCTTATAGATTATTTTCCCCTTAGAGCCTTTAGTAAAAAGTACTAAAACAAACAAATTACCATTCCTTGAAAAAAATGTCCTGCTTCTTCTTCGGAAAAAAGGTAAGAAAAACTGAAACCCAATTTAAATTTCTTTTCCAAGTAATTTTCAGGGTTATCACCTTAAATAAAGTGTAAATGAGTTGAGTTGACTGGTTGGTAGTTTGGTCGTATTCTTAAGGACAATATTTATGTCCGAAGCGAATGAAGGAAAGACAAGGGGACAACAGCAGACTCCCACAAAATTACAAATACACATATATAAAATTGAAATAAATGGCAAAAGAAATGCGATATTATGTGACCGATGGACTCTATGCGAGACATTGGACTACTAATGTGCCACAAGGGTAGTGAAATAATGTTTATCCTTTTTTTCCGTTGCAGCGGATGGCTGGCTGGCAGGTCCCAAAGCTTACCTTTTTGCGAAAACCCGAAAAGCAAAGTGGAATGGGAGGGGGAAAAAGAATGGCATGTGTCCTGCCATTCCCAGGAAAAGAAAAAAAATCGCAAAAGAAAGTGGGGAGGGGGTTACTTTGGCAGTTGCATTTTTAATAGAGCTGTAAAACATAGTCCAACAACAACAACAAGCTGACAGACAGCAACTGTAACATACAATACAAATGTATTGTATTTATGTATGTGTGTGTGTCAAACACCATCTCCAACAACTGTAATCTCTGAATGAAATTCTTGTGTGCTGTGACTATCGAACAGGTAAAATGAGACTACAAATAAATGTTGTATTCTTTGTATGGATTGGATGTATATATGCATGTGTGTGTGGTTGTCCTGTGTGTGTGGTTGTCTGTGTAATAAACTATGTTCTACAACATCATACATTATTGTACATATTATATGTTGGGACCATTGCCACTACCACTTCCAGCCACTACTACTGCAAATGACTGCCCCAGCCTGAACAAGTCAGTGAGCCTGCGAGTGTATATGTGTGTGCTACACTCTCAATACAAATGTATAGCGTTTTTATTGCATATCCTCATAAAATATTAACAAATTCATTTGTTACATCAACGAACTGGCAAAAATTGTAGCCGAAACAACAAGAAAAAATACGCTAGCCAGGATACACAACATATGTCCATATATATGTGTGTGTAGAGTCGTTTGTCCTGCTGCTCTGTATTTTAAAAGGCAAGACACATACGGTTTTATACACCATTACAAAGGTAATACCTTTAATTTTTGTGTTATTGCTGTTGTTGTTGTATTTATTTTTTATTTGGCATCCCAATACAAAAGGAAACTACAATTGTTAAAGCGCGGTGTAATAAAAACAACAAACACGACATTGACAGCAGAATAAAAAAAATCAACGGAAACAAAGGGAAATAAAAACAATATTGAAAAAAAGAAGGGAATACAAAACACCACGGCGGTAGTAAATAAAAAAATCTGGATATTGTTTTTGGACCAGAAAAAAGTAGAAATAGCAGCAGGAAAAATCCAGTATTATAGTGAGGAATGTCCTTGCAAAAATTGGACGTGTTTTGCCAACAAAAATTGGAATGCGGACATATATATAACCTATGGTGTATGGCATATGACGGGGTGCGGTGTCGGGCACATTCCCCGACAATTTCTTAAATTTTGACATTTAGTGCTAGATGTTAAAGGAGGAGGATGAGGTGGACCGTTATGCCCCATCTGCAGACTTATTCTAGGCTTCATAAAAATATAACGATTTTCAAAATTTGTTGAAATTGATTTGAAACCAAAAACGCACATTGTAATATACAACTGCATTAATAGTTTCATCATTTTCTATGGCAACATTCAAGTGACATACACCTGAATTCGACCCCTTTGACTCGTCGTATTTGCCAGCTACGATCCAGCCAGAGAGATTTTTTGCAAAACCGGATAACTCGTATTTGATTTGATTTGGCCTACACAAAGAAGTTCGAAGAAAACTTCAGCGCCAAGTAATAAATCAACTTTACGAGTTTCATTGAGGCCAGCTCTATATTTTTAGGAATATTCCAATTAGCAGTGGAAATCCTCTTATCAGGTTGAAGACTTGTTATAGAACTCAATACCCAGAATGTAGATGAGAATTGGGTTGAATTGAGTCTCGACATCACAGACAGTTGAACTTTATTTTTCGAAATGGAAATTCCTTCCGAAATGCCAGTGTTAAATTTAACCTGCCACTTTCCCGTTTTATTTTAAGCCTTTGTACCAAGTCCTCGGTTATCAAATTAGGTTGATAACCGGAATCTAAAAGAGCTCTAGCCAGAATATATTTTCCTGAGCTACTAGCGACCTTCACTAATGCTGTGGCCAACATTACGCCTTCATTCGAAGATGAATAGTTGACCGAAGCGCTAGACGTAGAAGGCTGCTCTTGGTCAGAAGCGTATCGATGCAGTAAGAAATGGTGTGAACCACCGCAAACTCTACACTTCACTACTGAATTGCATTTGGTAACAGTATGACCTTTTTTGAGGCAATTAATGCAAGCAGGGACATCTTTAATGAATTAAAATCTTTGCAGAACTGCTACGGCAGTGAAGGAAGTACAATTATTTATATTATACTGTAAAGATGTACAGAACACGCACTTTTCAGAAGATGGTTTCGGTTTAGAAACTGAAAGTGACGTTTTAAAATTCCTTTCTTTCTTTGAAACGTAAATCAGGTGAAAAGATAGAACCATCGGTCCAATAAAAATGTGTTTTTTTTAAATCCACCTTGAAAAGATATTTTTAAAAGATCCAAGCCTTATTTACGCCTTAGAAAAGTATTTTTCATCCAACCATATTTTAAAAAATCTCCTCGCTTTCCGATTTTCATAAAGACAATAGGCAGTGGTTCTCGTTAAACCACTGTCCATCTTGGGTCAACATGTATACAAAATTTCCCACATACTGTCTCCATAAACTTCTCTCTTTCTTTGTTATTAAGCATTTGGGATTTGGGTTTCAATAAAAACAACAACAAAATTATTTTGCAAAAATATTTTCAATATAATATTTAACATAGTCTAATGAAGATAATATTCGAAACGCACACACAGACACAAGTAATAACAACACAATAATATTTTTAACTCACACACACACACACACAGACACAGAGAGACTACTAACTATGGTCAACAAGATTTTCATTTCATGTTCGGTAGACAATTATCACATGTCAGGAACACAGAAGAGAGAAAGGAGAGTATATTTGGTTCCCTGGACCAATAGAACATTTAATTTTCAGGGAAAAAAAAACAAAAGTTCAATTGATGTTGAGGTTCAAATCTCAAAAGTATTTTAATTTCAATAATATTTTGGGTGAATAGAAAAAAATAATATTTCCTTTTGTTGATATCAAATAAATTTGAGAATTTAATAGTTTTTAAATTTTAGCAAAATATTTGCAGTCCTATGATGGAATTAAATTACGATTTTCTTGTTTTCTATCCTTGAAAAATAGAGAAGAAACATATATGTATATATAGAAATAGAGGATGTTTGTCGAAAGCCCAAAAAATACACTTCCTTCTTTTTGAGCTTCTCAGAAATCCTGTGACATTCCTCTTCTTTAATTAAAATCCCATTTATTAAATTGTCACACACATACATATATCCTTGGAGTGGTCTTAATGAAAATACCGCATATTAGCTTCAACTACAATTTAATTTCCAAAGCAAACAATATGAAAATTCCCCCAAAATAACAATCTAATATTCTAACAACATGATATCCGCATCATGATCATCGTCCTCGTCATCACCATTAAGATTTTATTTGTGTGTTAACCCCACAAAACAACAGTTTCACCGCAATACTAATGCCACAACAACAACAACTGTTGACAGTGTGAAGTTGATGACAAATAAACAACAACAAACAATTCGTGGTGATATATATTTAACAAATGTATTAAAAGCCACATGTCATAGAGACGACATATCTCGACCCCGTCCTTCCACCAACAAAAATGGCGGTGGTATCCTTTGCCAAAAATACAAACACATACACATTCACCCAACATCCACAGGATGCAGCAGCAACAGGATTGTACCAACTCTGCATGATGCTAGAGATTGCATCCACAAAGAGGAGTTCATTCGTTCGGCCCCTTTATGCCCAAAAATAAATAAATAGCACAAGCAACAATTGTGACAACGACACATGTTTTTCCATTACCAACACACACAGAGATGGGCACACATACATAGAGAGAATCGCACACATGGTGATGAAGTGTAGTTTAACTATAGTTTTTTTTTGGGGGTTTATAAAAACTACCACATGCAGTCAGTCATCTATTTTAAGTGAGCGACAAAGTGTTGAGTCTTTTGTTAGTAAATTCGTGGTGTAGCGAGCATCACACACACATATAAATTTACACTTAACATTATTTATTTGTTTGTTTTTGAAAATCCGGTAGTGGATAAATGTTATGGCACTAGGTGTTGGTAATTTTTATGGGACTTCAGAAGGGTTTTCTTGACAGGCTTTCAAATTTTTTAAAGAACATTTTTACAATCTTGGGTTTCGAGGAGGATTTTTGCAAGCATCTGCAGAACTATAAAGAGGAATTTTCAGACTATTTTTTCAAGGACCAGTCAAACATTAAAAACTGGACTGTTTTAAGAAACATTCGAACAGAAACCTTGCATGTTAGGTTGATTTGGAAATATATTTTTTAAGGATTAATAAGTGTGCGATTTTCAATATGCCTGCATTTTTTAAAAATATTTCTTCAATGGTTGTCAATTATTAGTTCCTTAGAAAATTACCTAAAAATAGTGGTGCCTACTTTTAGGAGTTATAATGAAAAACATATGGTGTAATCTGTTTTCATAGGTTTTACGCGTTTTTTTTTTGTAGGATCAGACACTTCTATAACTCTTTATATTCAACTTCAAAAAGTCGTGGAGTACTAATTTCCTTTCAAGCTATCTCCAATTGATTTGATTTTTATACCCTCCACCATAGTATGGAGGGTATATTAATTTTGTCATTCCGTTTGTAACTCACCGAAATATTCATTTCCGACCCTACAAAGTATATATATTCTTGATCAGGGTAAAGTTCTAAGACGATCTAGCCATATCCGTCCGTCTGTTGTAATCACGCTATCTTCCGAAGAAATTGAGATAGGGTGCTGTCTTGTCTTTTCTCTGCAGGCAGGTCATGTTCGAAGATGGGATATATCGGTCCACGTTTAGGCATAGCACCCATATAAGGGTACCCCCAATTTTCGGTATTTTGGGGTTCTTGAGCACGTTTTTCAACCGAATTCGCTGAAATTTGGTACATTAGTTCTTTATTGAGTACTAAATGCCTACACAAAAAATTATAAATATATGTCCATTTTTTCTGGTAGCCCTTATATAACGATACCTCTTAATTTAAGTATTTTGGTGGTTTTGGTCGTATTTTTCCACCGAATTGACTCCAATTTAGTACTTTGAGTTCTTAACAGGTTCCATATCACTCCACAAAAAATTATGAATATAGGCCCATTTTTTCTGTTAGCCCCCATATAAGGGTATCCCCAATTTTCGGTATTTTGGGGTTTTTGAGCGCGTTTTTCAACCGAATTCTCTGAAATTTGGTACATTGGGTTCTTATTGGGTACCAAATATCTCCACTAAAAATTATAAATATAAGTCAATTTTTTCTGGTAGCTCCCATTTTTCCGCGTTTTGGATTTGGTTCTAACACTCTGTTGTAATCATTTCACCTTCGAAGGATATCAAGATAAAAAACTAGAACATACGGTTCGATAATGAATTATATGTGAACCCGCATTTAGGCTTAGCCGTAGCCCCTGTGTGGGAGGTACCAGAAGGCATGGACCGATATTCCCCAAATTCGAACATGAACTAAGTTTGGAAGACATAATAAGATGGGATGAACTCAAATTTTTCTGAAACGAATTTGGTCCAATGAAACATGGCGAGGTCCAATATTTTGATGAGGCACATTTTCAACGTGTGAAAGTGTATACACACTAATTGGCCATAAGGCGAGGGTATAATTTTCTATTAAAAATGATTGTTTACATAATCGGTTTATAGAAATGTCGATATAGGTATGTTCCCTATATTTTCGTTTCAAGTACCTACCAGTATATCTATGGTGGAGGGCATCCAAAGTTCGGCCCGGCCGAACTTAACGCTTTTTCACTTGTTTTCTACAAAACTTCTGTTAACTCTTTAAAAGAATTTGTATTTAAACATTTGGTTTCCTTTTTTCTACAGAGCAATTTGAGATTGAGATTATCTTTGCAAAATATACATTTAAGATATTTTTTAACAATACATCATCAGTATTATTTAATACACCATGTGTACAATACATATTTATACTGTCCCAAAGATTTAAGATACTCCTCTGGCCAAGAAGACCACCAACAACAAGAAAAAAAATAATAACAGTATTTTTTTAAAAAAATAAATCTCAGTTTTAAACCTCAAAAACTCATCAACAATAAGGATATGAAAATGTTCACACAAACAGACACACATACATGGTAACGCACAGAGATACCAAACAGATTGCAACTGCAAATGAATGTGCAATAATAAAAACCAGGACAAATTGCTCTCTATGGGTGTACTTGGTTTTCATACGACAGATTAACAGGCGAATCCAAATAAATGTGACGATTTATAATAAATGAAAAATATATAGGACATGTACATTAAATAAGCTAGGACCTACACCATTGCAAAAAAAAAAAAAAAATCAAGGTGGCGTTGTTTCTAGGCAACGTTAGATGGCAGCCCCATCACATAGGGCAGGCTACAGTAAAACAATTATATACTAACACTAATACAGTAGGATGGTGATGAATTTTAAAATTCCGAAGAGGAATAAACAGGAGGAAAAAGGATACTAATTTATATTGATTTTTGCTTAGTCGAAGCATTTATAAGTTTGGTCGAAATCGCTTATAAAGAGGGTCAATGAAACAATATCACATAAAAGGGCAAAACTTTTTTCGGGATATTTCCAATATTTCCATCACATAGGGCAGGCTACAGTAGAACAATTATATACTAACACTAATACAGTAGGATGGTGATGAATTCTAAAATCCCGAAGAGGAGTATCAGGAGGAAAAGGATACTAATTTGTACTGTTCGATCGAAATCGCTCATAATGAGGGTCAATGAAACAATATCACATAAGGGCAGAATTTTTTTCGGGATATTAGGATATTTCCGATATAAATAATTTTAGCAGTCGATCCAGCTGATATATTTGGAAAAGTGATCAGCTGATTTATTGGAATGCTACTTTTCCAATTTCATTTTGTTGTTGTTGAGTTTTTTAATTTTTTTTTTCGTTTATACAAATTTCCTTTATTTGGCCTCAACTGTTTCGAATAATAAAAATGATGAATTAATCTACTAACCACAAACATATGAATGTGACATTCACATAAAATATATATATTTCATTCGACTCTATGAAAACTATATATACACATATGTATGTGTGTGTGTTTTGATATATGTTTAAAAGAGAATATATAATGGTCTATTACCGCACACACACACACGCTCCCACAAAATGCATAAATGTTGTAATCAGTATTTGGTAAAGAGTTGTCCTTTTTTTGTGTGTGATAATTGAAATTGACACTTTTGTTTTTAAGACAAGTGGGAGAGGGAAGGGAAGGGGAAGGGAGGGAGGAAAATTTTGTTTTGTTATTTTTAACTTACCCAAATAAGCTTGTTGTGGTTCGGCCATTTGTATGAGAGCTGAATCCTTTTTATTATATAGTATCTTTACACGTTGCACATCGCCATAAACACCTGTGTTGGGGAAATAGAAAAAAAAATAATGAAAAAAATCAATAAATAAAATGAGATTTCAGATATTAAATATGAAAAATATTTAAGTTTGAGAAATAAATATGATTCTTTTGAATAAAAAATTTACAAAACTAATGACAAATGACATTGAATATTTTTTTAAAATAAATTTAATTTAAAATGTGGAAGGAATAAACGGAGTTTTTTTTAAGTTTCAAACACAAGAGGCTAAATATCATAAATATAAAGAATGTTTCCTTGTGTGTAGGCTATACTAAAAATGTATAAACGCCTATAAATATACTCCATTATTTTTCAAATAATCAAAATGCAGCCTTCAATACTTTCCAAATTAAATATTACCATAAATATTATTCAAGAAAGAATTTTAACAAATGAAAAAGCGTTATTTTACATTACCTCCACCTAATATATGACAGGTACTAGACTTGAAAATATAGGGAACATACCAAAAAGTGGACCAATTGAATTTAAGAAACGGATTATGTAAACCATAATACAAATTTCAGAAATTTTTAATTGATAACTCAAATTCGAAGATGGGAAATATCGGTCCACTCCTTCTGAAACCTCCACACAGGGACTAGGTCTAAATGCGGCTATAGTTAATTATCGAACCTTAAGTTCTAATTTTTTTTATCTCGCTATCCTCCGCAGGTTAAATGATTACAACAGAGTCTTAGAACCAAAAAAATTAATAATTTTTGGTAGAGAGATTTGTTACCATATACGATTACTAAATACCAAATTGCAGCAAATTCGGTTGAAAAACGCGCTCAAGAACCCAAAAATGCCGAAAATTGGGGGTACCGTTATATGGGGGCTATTCGAAAAAATGGACCTATATTCATAATTTTTTGTGGAGAGGTTTCAAACTTTAAGAACTCAAAATACTAAATTACAGCTAATTCGGCGGAAAAATACGATCAAAACCCCCAAAATACTGAAAATTGGGGGGTACCGTTATATGGGGGCTTCCAGAAAATATGGATCTATACTTATAATTTTTTGTGGAGACATTTAGTATCCAATGAGAACCCAATGTACCAAATTTCAGCGAATTCGGCTGAAAAACGCGCTCAAGAAACCCAAAATACCGAAATTTGGCGGGTACCCTTATATGGGAGCTATGCCGAAACGTGGACCGATATATTCCATTTTCGAACTTGACCTATCTCAATTCCTTCAGAAGATAGCGTGATTACAACAGACTGACGGACATTGCTAGATCGTCTTAGAATTTTACCCTGATCAAGAATATATATACTTTATAGGGTCGGAAATGAATATTTCGATGAGTTAAAAACGGAATGACAAAATTAATATACCCTCCATACTATGGTGGAGGGTATAAAAACTAATTGTTCCCAAAATTTAAAAAAATAAACATTTTTGAAATTAAGGTATTTTACATAACACCACTCTCAATATATGGTGTCTACTTTTAGGGGGGAAAAGGCGAAATAAATTAAACCAATTGAATTTAGAAACGGAAGGTTAAGAATTCGTTCATTATCTTTTTACTTTCGAATAATTTACATTTCAAAATATTAAAGAAATAAAATACTTTAAAAAAGATGCCGAAATTATTTAATGTAAAACCACTCCCAATAAATGGTGCATATTTTTAGGCAAATTAAAAAAATTCTTAATCATTTAATTTCTTTAAAAATCTGCAAGACACTGTGCCCTCATCAATCTGCTTTTGGTATTCCCAACATGCAATTGTAATTTACCTGGCCGACAGTATTATTTCCTAGGCAAGGTATTGACGTTTCGATTTTCTTTGTCTGTTTTTGTAATGCCAAACAAGTTTTCAGCTTGTTACGGTTACTAAATCTCCACATCAGTTGTGCTTTTCTTCTTCTCGACTTCATTTTTTGTTTGTTTGTTTTAAATTTACAATTCAGTTTAGACGATTGTAAATATTTTGGCAAATTTGTTTCTAGAGATTTTACTTTCCTATACCCTGACGACTGGTTGGCTACCATCTCTCTTAACTCTTTTCTATGGCAATTGCAATGCAAGAAAAAAAATTCCCTTGATGAAAATGAAGCTTGAGTAGTTTGGTTGCACCATCGATTGAACATCAAATGGCCACAATTTGCACGTTAAGCCATTTGCCTGGCCCGGCCATGGGTGCTTGGGGGCCAATTTATGCACTTCTTCAACTCAGCAGTGGCATCAACAACAAGAAGAATATATTGCTTTCATACATGAAGGTGAATGCTGTCCAGAGTAATATTTTTTTTTTGCTTTCAATATTTTTTTGATGTTGTTGTTTTGGTATTCTCTCTGACATTCTTTGGTAAGGAACTTTTAGCCGGGTTATACAATTTATGTTTAATCTATACACCTTCAAAACTTCTGCTGTTGGTGTGTGCACCTTTTTAAATGGATTTTTCTTAATGCAGTTGCGGAGTAGAGCAGAGTGGTAAAATCAATAATTTAACAACGGCCAGGTAAATGGACTTGGTTGGTGATTGGTGAATATCATATCATCACCATCCGCAGCCAGCAAGCAAGCAAGAATCATCATCATCATCATGAAACATCCGCTGCATCAATACGATTTTTGGTGCGGATGTTGTGGTCAAGAGGGTTTTTTGTTAAGCTCGGCAAGCTATGCGAAAGAAAGTTTGCGTTGTTAAAAAGTAAAACAATAAAATACAGTTGCACTGACTCTGGACTATATATTTAACATAAAACTGGGCCAAACAAACAAACCAACCACCCAACCAAATGACCGACCGACGGACAGACTCACCAGACTCACCAAGCAACTTATTACCATCAATAAATTTTTGTGCAATAAAATGCAACGCAAAGGTAAGTCCAAGCTCTTGGGCGAGTTATCCTCGAGAAGCACCACCCGACCCCACCCTCATCATTACAAATGCCGACCACAGAAAAAAAAGAACTGAACTGCTCAAGCAAATCATAAATTCTCTGCAAATTTTATGCACAATGAATGTGTGAGTGTATGTGTTTGTTTGTGCATCGTGGGCAGGGGGGGAGAGGGAGAGAGAGGCAGAAAACCAAAACGTATTTTTCCAGATAGGCTGAGGTTAAAATCGTTTTTTGTTGCTGTTATATTTCTTTCCTTTTGATTGCTGACTATATACTTTACCTCAATTTTGTTTTTATTTATTCCTTCAAAACTTAAATATAGCCTTGACAGGTTAATGTGAGAAATTGAAATTTTTCTAAGTGAAGTGAAATTAGTCTCAAAGAAATTTCGTTAAATTTCATCAGGTTGTTTGTTGCATTTAAGTTTCTCAAGAGGATTCTAATTTAAAACAAAATTTCAATTTCACGTAAATAGGTGCTAACATCATATGTTATCAATTAGCTAACCTAAAAGTATGCATTACTTTTTGCAAAAAAAAATATTAATGGCAAAAATGCGGCAAATTTTTTGTGAAATAAATTTTTGAAAAGACCATTCACATCATTGGATTCTCTCAAAAATCGTCCTACCAATAATTAACAATATCTATCCACTTTTTAGGATAGCCGAAGGTGCTATAACTTAGCATTCCAAATATAAAGATTCAGCATCGTTGTTTTCTAAAAACATTTTTCCAGGGGTATAAGGTTTAAAAATATGTTTTTAAGTCTTCTGAGAATTTTAAAAAATTGTATATTGGATATAGAATATATAGTATATAAAAAAATGTTCAAGGGTTCACAAACGGTGTGGATTTTCTAATAATATTTTTCAACGTCAGTAATAGGCGTGGAATTTTTTTAAATATTTTTTTCAATAGATAGGCATAGAGCTGTAGAGATAGGCATAGGTCATCAGGAGCTGTAGATTTTTAAAAATATATTTTTAACGGTCAATAATAGGCGTGGATTTTTAAAAATATATTTTCAACGGTCAATGATAGGCGTGGATTTTTAAAAATATATTTTCAATGGTCAATGATAGGCGTGGATTTTTAAAAATATTTTTTCAAGTGTTAATTTTTTTCAGGGGTTACAAGAGGCGTGGATTTTTAAAAATATTTTTTCAAGTGTTAATTTTTTTCAGGGGTTACAAGAGGCGTGGATTTTTAAAAATATTTGTTCAAGTGTTAATTTTTCAGGGGTTACAAGAGGCGTGGATTTTTAAAAATATTTTTTCAAGTGTTAATTTTTTTCAGGGGTTACAAGAGGCGTGGATTTTTAAAAATATTTTTTCAAGTGTTAATTTTTTTCAGGGGTTACAAGAGGCGTGGATTTTTAAAAATATTTTTTCAAGTGTTAATTTTCTTCAGGGGTTACAAGAGGCGTGGATTTTTAAAAATATTTTTTCAAGTGTTAATTTTTTTCAGGGGTTACAAGAGGCGTGGATTTTTAAAAATATTTTTTCAAGTGTTATTTTTTTTCAGGGGTTACAAGAGGCGTGGATTTTTAAAAATATTTTTTCAAGTGTTAATTTTCTTCAGGGGTTACAAGAGGCGTGGATTTTTAAAAATATTTTTTCAAGTGTTAATTTTTTTCAGGGGTTACAAGAGGCGTGGATTTTTAAAAATATTTTTTCAAGTGTTATTTTTTTTCAGGGGTTACAAGAGGCGTGGATTTTTAAAAATATTTTTTCAAGTGTTAATTTTTTTCAGGGATTACAAGAGGCGTGGATTTTTAAAAATATTTTTGCAAGGGTCAATAATAGAAGTAGATTTTTAAATCAACCTTCCAGAATAAAGAACCGTTTTTCTTAACACTGAGACACTAAAATTTATAAAGGGAATCCCTTCTTCAAGAACTCCATGACACCGATAAAAATCTAAATCTCCAAAAAAAGAGATGCAACAAATCTGAAAATAAAAACCAACAGCAAATCAACCCTCCAGAATAATTCAGAGGCACTTGCAATAAAACATAGGTATTCCAAAAAAAATAATAAAACACAAATCCATTACTTGTGTGTCCAAAATAAGAGAGAAAAAAGAGGAAAAAATTCAGTCTGGCATAAGTTATTGGCAACAATAACT